TTATTACTCATATTACTCTCTTACCCTCTTACTACTCATATCACCTATATTCCCTTATCATCTCTCATATCACCTCCTTACCCTCTTACTACTCACATTCCCTTATTACTACTCATATCTCTCTCCCCTTATTTTCCCACTTATCTTACTTACTTACCTTATTGCTTATTATTACTTAGTTTATTACTTACTTAGTTATTATTACTTACTAGTTAGTTTATTACTTATTATTATATAGTTGGTTGTCATTACTTATTTAGTTTATTAGCTACTTACTCTCTTATTACCTTATCATCACTCTTATTACTCCTTACCTATATTACCCTCTTATTACTTCCTTACCCTATTACTACTCATATCTCTCCCCTTATTTTCCCACTTATCTATTATACCACTTATTTATACTCGTCTTATTACTTATATTACTTGCTTAGTTATAGTTATTATATTAGTTATATTATATAGTTAGTTCCTCTCATATCACTCTCTTGCCTTATTTTCCCTTATTATCACTCATATTATCTATATTACCTTGTTATTACCTATATCACTCTTATTATCTATATTACCTATATTACCCTACTATTACTCTTATTACCTTGTTATTATTCATATCTCTCTTATTATCTATATTCCCTTATTATCATATCTCTCTTATCACTTCCTTACCTTATTATTCCCTTATCATTACCTATATTCCCCTACTACTCACATCTCTCTTACCTTATCATTCCCTTATTATCTCTCTCCTTTCCCTACCTATTATACTTACTTATTATTACTTACCCTCTTATTACCCATACTTACTTATTTTCCCTGTTTTACTTACCTTATCTTTACTTAGTCTTTTATTACTTACCTTCCCATATTCTTTAGTCTTCACTCTCCTTACTATCACTTCCTTATTAGTCTTACTTACTTCTTAGTTACGTGCCCTATCACTTAGTCTCCTTACTTATTATCTTATTTCTATTCCTATATCACTTCTATTTATCACCTAATATCCCCTTCCCTATCTTTCTATTTATTTATTACTTACCCTACCTTTACTTATTACTTAAGTCCCCCTCTCTTGCTTATCTTCTGCTTCCTCTCTCTTCCTCCTCTAGCCCCTAAAATTTTTCCTAAAAATTTTCCTAAATCCCCACTATAACTTTTACCACCATAACCCCTACCACCATATTTCTCCTTATCCCTTACTCTTCATATCTTCCCTACTACTTACCACTTACCACTTACCACTTAACATCTAATACTAACTACTATCCTTACTTATTCTTCTTACTATTACTTCCTTACCTTATATTACTCTTATTACCCTACTACTACTCATATCTCTCTCCTTCTTATCACTTCCTTACCTTCTTATTCCCTTATCATTACTCATACTACACCTTATCATTACTTAGTTCCTCTCTTATTACCCTATTACTACTCATATCTCTCTTACCTTCTTATTCCCTTATTATCTCTCACTTTACTCTCTTACCTTACTTTCCCTACTTATCCATTATACTTACTTAGTTACTTATAGTTACTTATTAGTTAGTCACTTACTTACTTAGTTGTTATTATTACTTATCTCTCTTACCTACTACCTTATTATCACTCTCTCCTTATCTTTCCTTATTCTCCCTACTTATCTATTATACTTACTTAGCTACTTATTATTAGTTAGTTATAGTTACTTACCCTATTACTTACTTATTACCTACATTACCTTACTATCACTCTTATCACTTCCCTACCCTATTACTCCTCATATTCCTTTCCTACCTTCTTATTCCCTACCCTAATATTACTTTATTCTCAATTACTTACCCTTATTATCTTTACTCCTCCCCTACATCTCCTTACTCACTATTCTCCTTTCTTTCCTTACTACTCCTTGCCTATATCTCTATCTAACTATTAATCTCTCTTTCAATATCACTTGTATTACCCACTACTCATATCTCCTCATATTCCCTTCCATTTCTTACCTTCCTTATTAGCCTTATTTTATTATTACTTACCTATCCTACTTACTTACTCAATTAATTCACTCATCTTATTTTATTATTACACCTACCTTACTATTTCTTATTCCACTATACTTATTACCTACCCTACTTACCTTATTTATTCTCTGTCTTTCCATATCACTCTTACCTTCTTATTACTTCCTTACCTTATTATCTCTCTTATTACCTATATTACTACCCTTATTATCTCTCTTATCATCTATATTCCCTTATCATCTCTCATATCACCTATATTCCCTTATCATTACTTAGTTCCTCTCTTATTACTTTCTTACCTTCTTACTACTCTACCTATATTACCCTCTTATCACTTCCTTACCCTTACTTACTTATTATCTCTCACTTTACTCTTTTTCCTTATTCTCCCTACTTATCTATTATACTACTTAGTTATACTCGTCTTATTACTTAGTTTATTTCTTAACTAGTTACCCTGTTAGTTACCCTTATATATTAGTTAGTTAGTTATTATTAGTTATTGTTCTCTCTTACCTTATACTTAGTTAGTTAGCTATTATTCTCTCTTACCTTATACTCACTTCTATTATCTTTATTCCTTACCTTACTTATATCCCCCCAACCTACCTTCTATTTACTTATCTTTCCTTACTACTGCTTGCCTATATTCCCATCTAACTATCTCTCTTTCAATATCACTTATTACCTATCTCACCTTATCACCACTCATATACCCTATCCCCTATTCTCTCTTATATTCCTTACTTACTATTATATTTATTATCACCTCCTCTCCTTGTAATAACATAACTAACTAGGTGCTATTAATCTCTCTTTCAATATCACTCTTATTACTCCCTCACATTAATTATCACTCTACTCCCTTACCTTACTTATCATCTATATTACTCTCTCTCCTTATTTTCCTACTTATCTATTATACTTACTTACTTATTATTAGTTAGTTATAGTTACTTACCCTTATTATTCTCTCTTACCTTATTATCACTCATATCACTTCCTTACCTTATATTACCTTATTATCTCTCTTATTACCTACATTACCTTATTATCACTCATATCACTTCCTTACCTTATATTACCTTATTATCTCTCTTACTTCCCTACTATTACTTATTACCTTATTATTCCTCATATCTCTCTTATTACTTCCCTACCCTATTACTTAGTTACTTATTATTACTTACCCTCTTATCACTCTTATTACTTCCTTACCTATATTACCTTGTTACCTATA